ACCTTGTTTTCTTTCTATTTTTTCACAGCTCCATGTTTTGGTGAGATATTCTTTCTTGAATCATCGAACACAACAACAGCTCAGAAAAGTGCTGTTGCAATGAAACAGCTTAAGCGAGCCGCTTTCATTAGCATTTTTCTCCGTCAAAATTATTTCATTTCTAATCCTTCACTAATCTCAACATGTCAACACTAGTTCATGATAATAATATTTTTACTTTTTCTAAAACATAACCTTTGTTTTTGTCGATGATGACAAAATTTATTTTTTGCTTTTCTGTAGTCTCATCTATTTTATTCTTTGTCCAATCTGAGTTTTGTCTTCTTTCGTATTTCAATTTATTTTGTTCCCTTTTTACATTACTATAGTCTTTCTGAATAAATATTACTAACCATTCCTCGAAATTCCATTTCACAATTCTCAGCGTTTTCCCTGTGTGTACACCTGAACCGTGTTTTTCTATATAAAAAAATGGAATAATACAGGGAAGCCATACCAAACTGCTAATATTTTCTCATGAATTATATTATCATATTAGTTATTACATAATAATAGACAATACTGTATGATAATATTCTTTCACGTTAGTAATAATAGTATTACTGATAAATAATAATTTCATGATGTAAAGAGGATTATTTGTAATCTCATCATTTCTATTTCTTGTCAATCTCAACTGGTATCTAAATGAACTGACATTCCATAATTTACGAAAGAGGATGTGTGCATGTAATAGAGAAAGTAAGGAGAGTCAAAATTTTCATGCCTTGCATAGAGTGTTTCTTCTGTTGTGTATGTATACTGCCTGTTTATTATTTTCGCTGATTTATTTTCCTTGTTAAATCCTAGTTCCGTCATTCATTATTATTGTCCTTTTGTTTATACGATAGTGATTCTTGTTTTCTGCATATAGTCATATTAAGTAAGAACAACATCGAAGTGATGGAAATATTTTTCTAGATATGAGATTGACGTGGTAAAACCGTAAAGCTTTGTGATTCACTTTTATTGAATTATTGTTATAGAAGAGTATCTTATTGATAAATGAGACAAATTGCCTATTGGTAAAATTAAGGAACAGAATACTGGTTGGTAGATGATACGCAATATTATGTGTGACCAAGTGATGGCTATTGACGGAAATAAATTTGATTTACTTAAGTCATCAAATGTTTTAAAATGAAATATACAACTGAAACTGATACGTAATTGATGGGAAGCAGTTTCATAGGTGATTCACTTTCCAAACAATTAGGATCCAGACTCTTGCATTCTTTTTTACCTAACGTTGTGACAATAAACCTTCGTAGGGATGACTTTGTAAAGTTCTCTGCTTATCAAGAGGAGGTAAGGGCTATTCATGTGTTTATGACATGAATTACATTTCAATGAATTTAAACAAGCTCCACAACCCGTATTGAAAATAATCATATGTTCCCAGTGATTATCTTTGAGACAGAATTTTCAGAGTTCTAGTGAGATGTGGCCATTGAAATTAATCTGTATCGACTATGTGGCAATTATCCACTGAAGACAGTGGAATATGTCCATTGAATTTCGTGGATAAATTGGAGTTAGACAGTATAGCCGTCGGTTGCTGACTCAGTAGTCTAGAGGTTAGTCGTCTGTCCGCGAAACCGAAGGTGGTGGCTGTCCGTGTGCGGGGTCCTGCCCCACCCTCCGCGAAGGGCTCATGGCGGGCCCTTCATTTGACCGTGAAATCTCAACCAAGCCATTCGCTGTTGGAAGGTAGGCTGTTGTTCTAGTGTGGTTGAATCCCAAAAGTCTGGCAAACTTAAAATATGACGGACTGGGACTGAGGACCGTGGTCTTTAGTAATAATTGGCGGAATTCCGTAGTTTGATATCCAATGATCAAGAAATACTAATGCAACTTCTGCTGACGTGTCTTTGATAAGAAATGATATCGCTCATCTGGTAAACCTAACCATAACAATAAGAATACATATGAAGAGTTCTATGGTGGAAGAGGACTAACAATATTTAGATGTACGTTTTGGAAGCGTCTATCAGGTAGTGGAAACTCTCTAAAGAAGCTGAGTGTGTGTAGTGGGACCATGGTACAGTGACACTTTATATGGTTTCGTGTCCACCTCTTTACACCCGCTTTGATTATTGGCCAGACAAAACGTCCCGCGATGGGTTTTCCTGCGGCTCAGGTCCTAGGATGTGAAAGTTCGTGTAATTGTTGAAAGACCCATCGTCTGCAGGTTTTAAAGACAAAAGGACCATGTTACCGTTTGAAATATCACTGATAATTGATAAATCAGAAAAAGGAGTTGGTATAAATTTGAGAACCGAGTTGAACTTTGGGAGTTTTAGATCTACATTGTGTATTTATAATTTGGCGATAGTTTCGAGGTTTACATATTGTTTTCGTACTAGCGTATTGATATCTTTTCTCGTAGAGCATCGGGTACGATATTGGGGTGCCTTTTTATGAACTGGGTGTCAGTTATAATTTGTGAGATGTAATTAAATTTTCGCTCTTCAGGTGGTGACTGTCAATCATATGACATGTTAGAGGAAACACATAAGACATTGTAGTCGGTCATTATCGTAAATCACCGTCTGTGTAATTGGAAAGTGAAATGTTTTGCCGCCATATCAATGGCTAGTAACTCATGTTCTTGGGCTGGTAACGGACGTTGAGAGAAGAATGCTATCGGTGTTATAATGTCACTTGCTCGTTGTTGCAGTACTGCCCCTACAACTTTTGGAAATACATCGATGCAGAGGATCAAATGTGTTTCAGGGTCAGAGTTTGAATGTTGTAACATAATAGAGTTTGTCACAATAGACTTTACGTCAACAAGTTACGGCTTGCTTCGTGATGCAGATTGATAAATTACTGAATGTTTGTCCTATCCATTTCCAACGTATTTTCCTAATTTACCTTCAGCTCGAAGCAACCGTAGGTTGTTGGTGAAGTTTTTCGACCAATGGACATTGAATACCTTACGTAAACAGCAGTTTGTAAATACTTCTATCTTTTTGATTATGGTTGTATTAATGCTCCAAGTTTCGGCTCCGTGCAACAGAACTGTCTTAACATTTATACTGATGATTCTGGCTTCTATGTTGACTGACAATCGTTTTGAACTCCATTTGTTCTTCAGCTATAGGAGTGCTGTCTATGCATTGCCAGTCCTTGCCTTTACGCCCACATCAAATCCTCCCTGTTCATTGATGATCCTGCTCAAGTATGTGGTATGTTCTGCCTCCTCCATAGTTCCTCCATCGATTGTGATTGGAATGCGTCTGTCTGCTGTTCTTCTTGTACGACTTTGCAATGTATTTCGTCGTAGAAATACTGTATTATGGTGACGATCTCTGAGGTACAGTATAGTGTCGAAGAAGGTCCCATAAGATGCTTCTATCCATATTGTCAAACGTCTTCTCATAGTCAATGACTTTGATGTATAATGACGAATTACACTCAAATGATTGTTCACTGACGACCTCTAGTGACACCATTAAGTCTGTAGCTAAATAGAAGGCTAAAAATCATAGTTGAATGAAATTTTAGGATTTTAAACTAACAAAATTTCATCATTTTTCTAACCGACTGTGTCAGACGATATTTAAGATTATTAGAAATGTAATATTTCTTAACGGTTTACACGATAGTTGATAATGCGACTTACAAATGACCATCCACCGAACAAAAAGCACTGAGGAATAATTTATTACTTCTTATCATTATAAGTAAGTGCTCTGCATTGCCTCACTAGTTCTTTCACTCAAGTGACATGAAGCTCATAGATGCGCATAGACACATGTTTTGGATCTTAAACGTTGTGTAAATCCGCAGAATATTAATATTTTAGCGCAACTAATTTTCATCTTCGAATGTTCAAAATTATTTATAAGATTCTTCTTAATGCTCCTGATTTTAAGTCTTCTAAAAATTCCTAGTCTTTTACCTAGCGCTATTGTGCGTGAAAACGTAAACCTAGTTCAAGTAACCTAATAGGATCATAGCGAATTCTGTCATTTAACTTCAAGTTGCGTCAACTCACAATTTCGGATGGTGCGGCAAAAACAGGCACGACGTCTGGTTCAGTTACAACTATCTCCAGGGACCGAAGCTACATGGACAAGTGTACAACACTCAAGCTTACTGCGTTGCAGAGACATCTTTTGGGGTCGATATGTTGCCCTCCGTTCGTTTCTAAAACTCACTGTCTAGTCCTAGAAAGTCTTTACGAATAAAAAAATGCTAAAAGTCATTTAACTTTAGATAATTTCAAGGAGTTAATAATGGACGTGATGATAATAGAAAGGTAAACGTAAAAATCAACTTGAAACTCGACCTCTGAAAAGTTTAGGCAGTATCATTCCATTACCCAGAAATACAAAGATGTAACAAAAATGGTGCATTGAGTCAGCTTGAACCAACCTGACTTGTTCATCAAAAAAAAGAAGGCGATCTAGCCATTAGATGCAACATTAGGATGATAGCGGGTGGAACGACTGCCCCTGGATTAAATCACCTAAATGAATCAAATACCCTTTAGATACTCTAGTTTCCAAGAGCCTTTAAAATTACTGTCACTAGTGCAACTGAAAAGTCAAACTGTCTGTATTAAACAAAAAGGACGTAGAATTGACTTTTCACATCAATACATATGCAAATGGTAAATTAGTTATTATTGTAATGCATTTTCAATCTCACTTATATTCGCCACTGCCATTCTGCCCTCATTTCTTGCTGCTTTTGACTTCTATTAGAAGCATTCGAAATACGTTCTGTCTCTCGCTGTTTCTCTGAATTCCTAAGAAACACTGGCCTGAGTACTATATCTGCATATGGAGCACCTTCAATTTAAATGCACACTATTAGAGATATAAGCCTATTATCGGCGATTTGGAACCATAGCTTGAGGAAGAGAAGCGTGAGAAAGTGAATCTAACAGTTTATACTCATTCATCGAGATATTGGATATTGATTAAACATAGTGGACATTAACCATGTGGAGGAAATTTAATAGAGTAACGACTTAACGTGTAAAATCTTTGGATTAATCTTTAAGTGAACCTAATGGCTTTTGGAAGTACCTTATCATGCACTGTACAAAAGTATTTGAATCTGCATTCATTCAGTGCACCTGAACCGTTTTCTAATCACAATAAGTCAGAGAGGAGTCATCAAGTTATCAGTGATAAATTATCTCTAAAGAATTGCAAATTGGAAGAATCAGAAGACTTGTGCCGTGTCGTGAGTTATTTTGAATATTTATTGGTTTCTCATATCAGACAGTCCCGGTTGGGTTTCGTAAAACTTCTCCATAATTTAATTCAATAATGAGTGAGTACATGTACTTACTTTTATTGTCATGAATTTTCGTGATAACGATTCGGTTAAAATCTCATTGACATATAAGATGGATGTTTTCTACCTCTGCATTTTGAAAGCAGTCGATCAGGTGAATACATGCATATGTAAAACTATAGTTTTCGTCACTCAATAATTAGTGTTGGGTAAAAATGTTTCTCAGTTTTTGCAAAACACGATTTTTCGGTATTTGCTCGGTTTTTATACAGAGTAATCATGCACTCTGTTTTTTGAATCAAAAATTGGAGATAATGCTTCGCCTGGGTCAGTCATATTATCTGTAGTCATAAGAACGAACTCTGTTTATCTAGAAGCTCACCTGTCTGTAAGTTGATTTCATAGTCACATTTACATTCAGATTTGTGTAGCAAAAGCAGAAAACCTATGTTTTTCTTTTTGTAGTATGTTCCTGTTAGTGTCTAGTGGATGAGTCACGTGTGGGTGCGGACACCACTGCTTCTGGTAACAGGTCCCAAGAATTGATAACTCAGTGCAAAAACCTGTATGCCACTGGTATTTTGTTCGCTTTTGGCTTTTTTACTCACCTGCGATGTGCTATGAGTTGTCCAGACTTATTAGGTAGAAGAAGAGAGAATATATTAGACTCACAAATATTTCTTGATATTCCATACATCATCGTCAAGTCACCTCTTAATCTGAGGTAGGACAGAGTGAAGAGGTCTAGATTCTGGACGCAGTTTCCAAGTTTAGTTCCCACTAAGGTTGTGTGTACTGTAATGAACATGATAGTACCTAACTTGGTAAATGCCCACAGGGTTTTAAACCCCTTATCGGTGATCTCATATCAGTAGGCCGTGGCCATAATATCATGAGCCACGGTCACCCCAGACATTTCGTCTATACTTTACTTATTTACCATTGTATCCCAAAAGTATATGCAGACACACGTGGCCGTGTTGATGTGCATCAGCCAATTTTTCAGATCCGCTAATCAGAATTTCTAAGTCCGCCTGAAGTGTACAGGCATCTGTGTCTCCTGTTATTTCGCTCCAGATTTTTCACGTCATCAGCGCATAGTAGCAGTTGGGAATCAATTCTACTTGAGAGTTCATTTACATACAATGTACAAAGTAAATAACCTAAGACAGAGCGTTGTGGTTCTCCACTACGTACTTGTTTTCAAGTGGAGCACTTGTAATTTGTTTTTACTTTCTCTCTACAACCTGCCAAGAAACCCCTAAGCTATATTAGGAGAGGTAGGATAATGCCTAGATTTTCCAGCTTCAAGAGTAATCTAATTTTGGCACCTTATCAAATGCTTCTCTGAAGTTTATGTAGACAAAATCCAGTGTTTATCAATCATCCAGAGCTTCAATCTATTTCTTTCTTGCTACGAGGAAATTTGTTGTGCAAAATAACTTTTTCTGAGACCATGTTGTTCGCTGTTTAACAAGTCTTTGGGTTCCATGAATGACATTATAGTCTTTTGACTATTATTTCCAGCATTTTATCTACGACATTGATGAGGCCGACAGGTTTGTAGTTGGATGAGAGTTGTGTTAATCCTATTTTATGTATTAAAGTGACAACTACATTCTTCCAGTTCATAGGTAACTCACGTTGACCAAGTGACATGTCGAATATCGTAGTTATTCAAAAAAGATTTCTTTTAGCCATTTTTTTACAGAAGTTTGTTAAAGTTACAGTTGCTTGTTGCCCTGTTTGCCTAATCTACAGAGAATTTTGTCTCTAATTCACCAAGACTTATTGGATTACGTTTTGCTAATAATTTTGATCATTATGAAATAATAATTTCATACTTAAGTGAAACAGTGATATTCATTCTACAACTTAACTAGCTTTCGAAAACTGACTGTTTGTAGATATAAATATTCCTGCCATCTATTAAACCACTAATCAGCCACTTAGACGGATAAAAAAAGTTTGACTTCCCACCTCTTATATTTTAATTACATATCTGATATATCTAGCGTGGAGATTTACGCAGATCTGCATAGTTTTGACGTATAACGTGCTTACGTTGAACACTTGCAGGAGAATTGGAATAATTTTGATGCTAAAGATATGGTTTTACAAGTTTAAATCAGTTTGAGTTGTGGTTTAATGGTTTCTGAAAGTATGTATGGGGTGTGCATTAAAAGTTAGCATTGTACATATCCTTTCACATTTAGCTAACTGATTGAAAAAGTGGAGTTCTGTATCTTTGACCAGTTTAATTGACATTATGTCACTTCAAAATAAGTGATGCTGATGATAGTTTAGTTAGCAACGAAATTTTTATTGCTTATACAGTTTATCCCTCCATTATTGTTTCTCTAGTATTCATTGCAAAAACTTAGTTGCCTTTAAAAAGGAATAATCGGAGATAATGATTATCATTCACCGTTAATAATAAATGGAACGAACGTTGTTTTAATGAATCAAATCTAGTGCTCGGAAGACTGTGATTAATAGTCGAAAACTGTTCGAATTATATTACAACCTTATAAAGTAGTCGATTTTTACTTGTCTGTAATTCCATCATAAACTTTTCAGCCATCAGAAGATGTAAAAACTTCCACCTCCCTATCAGTATAACAACTGATATTTTGGTTTGTGGACTTAGTCATTATAGAGATCGTGGTAGCATAAAATCTAGCTGGTAACCAAAAAGTTTCATGTTACAACACTTGAATTTCATGAATGTTCTTCTTGACAGTGGTATTAAGTTTAAAGAAGCTTAATAAATGAACAGGAACACTGATCGTACTGATAAATCGTCTACAAATCCTCAATAGCATCCGAGTAAACATTTTTACAAAATCTGCATAACGGATGACAGAATTTGTAAGCGAACAAGAAGGGCATTAAAACTTGACCAATACTGTAAGATTTATTCATTTGGTTTGACAAATATCCATATTTTATTTTTTATGTTGCTTTCTTTCTAGGCGTTCCCCGTCTATATTAACGAGTACGGAAGACATCTGAATTTTATTGCATCTGTTATTCAAAATCAACCCTCTAAACAAAGCGCGTATGTCTGAATATGTCCAGACAATAACCCTTCTCAAAGTGACTTTTAAAAGAATCTCTTTGTTGACTTTTTTTCATAATTTCTATTTCAGACCAAGATGAACCTAATGTAATATCCTATTTTATTTTGACTAAATGCTTTAAACATAGATACTTAGAGGAATCCGTCTTGATGAGGCTGTTTTCAGCCTTACTACGCAAATGATAGATTAATTTGGCCTTATAGTATTTCACCAACATATTATTCCTCTACAGAAATAATCATGTTCCAAAAACCAGAATCGCCAATTAAAACTTAGGAAATAAATTGTTTTTAAAAGTATGATTGATTCTATCGTCTTGATTTTCAGAGTTATTTTTTCTTGCATATACGTCATTTATATCTTTATATTAAATTGTTACTTTATATTCCTCTTACTGTGATTTTTCGCCTATCGTTAAAGCTTCACATCTACTACGTGCAACACAATGGTTCAACGCAAAGCAAAGCTGATATGGAATGGTGTAAAGTTTAATAGGTTTTAATAAGTCAAAAAAGGTTTATGTATCGTGGTAATATAAAGCAATATTTTATAGGATACTACAAATTAGTACAATAGGAAAGAAAAGTAAATTCATTTTGGTTGTAGTTAAGGCTTTAACAACACCGATTTCACACCGTGTTTTGAAATTCGTCCAGGTTGTTTATTGATACTCATGATCTGAATATTTGAATGATCATATGTCCATTTATATAACTGTTATCTGCAGACAACTAAGTTCGAGAGTTCAAAATAGTTATAATTGGACATATGGTATAATACCATTCTCAAAATGCCATAGTCTAGAAGACTGAATAAATATTTTATCAAAGTAAGTATCCACAAATTTTCCCGTGATCACATCCAGGAAACCTTAATTGCCCGGCCAGCTGTTATCGTAAGCCAGTGAACATCAGCCAGTCAAACAATTTTGTTTTAAGAACATTCCTTCCGCTTAGATCACTTTTTTATTTATTCCGTTTTATAAAATAGCTAATGAGTGTCAATTATTGACTCGATGACTTGCAGACAATGACACAGACTTAAGCTTGATCAAAGAATTCGTTTTATTGTTGCACAGACGTGTGAGCGAAATAGTTAGCTGTTACCCACGTTTTGAAGTTTGGAATTCGTAGTTTTGAAAAAGAAACGGATCTTATTTATATAAACTTACTTTACTTTGTGTTAGATAATTTTCTGTTAGTTTCTGTAACAACTTACATGCACCTTTTACTGATTATACGTTTATTGTTTTCAGCATTTTCATATTTATTCGATCACAAAATTCAGACTCGAATCAAATAGGTCTGATATTACGTGATATAATTCTGTTGAACGATGAATTCAGCTGTGAGGTAGGTAAGTTACTTATAAGTTATTATTAATTAACGTTAACATTATAACTGCTTTTTGTAGTTTTTTGAACCAAATAGTCTAAATCACTAGTTCTAATGCGTCTGAAGGATGACACAGGTATTCAGTGTTTGACAACGCTTTTACCAGTAACACCTTCTAATATATTTCGTTCCCACCCAGAGAAATCAAAAGACAGAGTCGAGGAGATCGGAAGAGTGTATTTGGCGATTACCAATATATCGGAATTCTCTGATCTAATCTGGCTAGCGATTGCGGTTGATGTTGAGCACGGCGTTACCACACGTGATCTGGTGCGGATGCCTGACCGAGCGCCTTCGGCTAGATGAGTCCACTTAAACATATGGTCAGCATCCAATGTCGAAAACTTAGAGCTATTTATTTTGGGGATTTATTTACCGCTATACGACAATCTGGAATAACTGACTGTGGTTAAAATTTCTGGATTAATTTTCTGAATATATATATATATATCGTACGTTCTACTTAGGCTAACCTTGTTTGGGTGACGGGGGTGATAAAACGCCAAATGCGAATAAGGCTGGACGGCTTTATTTCGTATACTCACATACTCAGAAAGACGCTAAGATGAGAGATGGAGAAGGTCAAATCGCCAACTCAATTAAAATGCAACTCAATATTCAAAGGCATGAATGATCTTAGAATATCGTCACATCGCATAATAATACAAACATACTGAAGGTTACACATGAAAATGACAAAATGACTGAGAACATTAGAATAAATCATCTGTACAAAAATCAAGATAAATCGTGTAGGTATCTAACATTGCTAGCTGCTACAATAAATATGTATACCAACTAACGTTATTTATACTCCATTTTATAGTTTAGGAATGCAAGGTTATCTATCAAAATCTAAAAATTCCCGATTGATTTAATGTTGTCATACGTCCCATGAAAAATATCTCCTTCAAAGTGGATTATTTAAAATTAATAAAGAAGTTTTATTGTATCATTTCAATAGTATTAATAAATACTAGGGTTTGAAAAGTACATTTAACACAGATATGAATATAATGAAATCTTCAGAGTTTCGTGCTATATTGCGTCATGACTGTGCACTAATTAAAAATCTCCGAATTCTAAGTAGTCTGCCGACTAATTTCAACTTGTAATAAACATTATGTTCATGTAATAAAAAATCAGTCACTTGTATATTAAACAACTGATATATTGTAACACCACACCGAGATTGAGAGAACTGTTGATAGATTATATATTATTGGACAGATTTATTGTGGAGGACAATAAAGTTTGATGTATTTACTGGCCAAATCTTTGCTTGAGTAATAATTTTTTTCGATCTGGCATAATTTCTTAAAATTAAAGTCTAAGTACATGGTGAAGTATCCTAATGTACTGGAAACACTTAATTTTATTATTGCATAAAGAAATATAGGATTCGTCACATTCTTATGTTTAAAGAACCTCGGAATAACTAATTAATGATCGAGTTAGACTTCTGATTTTGGACATGAATAACGTTAAGCTAACAGTCAACTAACTTGACATTCTATGTTTGCTAGTTTTCAAGTAGTTTAGAGAAAGTTTGGTTTGATTTCTGGTGAGATGTACACTACTGAATCCAATATTAGAATAAAACAGGTATACAGTGTTTAATGACTGTCTATCCAAGTTTACTGTGCTATACAGACTACAAAACATTTGAGTGTAGGCTTTTAAGCATTTATAATAGAATGTAAATTGATTAAAATTTTGGAATAATTTCAGTGATCGATTACGACAGATCCAAACAGATCAGAAAATAATTTCTGTTTAAATTTTGAACTCTATTATCCACTTTAAACTCTGGAAATCTCTTTGACTGTTGATCAGAACTTAAGAAATACCGGTACCATATGACATTGTACCTTAAAGTAATTAACATTTTGAATTATAATACTTTTATGTCATGAAATAGCAAAGAGTAAAATTCCAATAGGTAGTATATGAATTAACAATGAAAACGTTTGTAAACAACGAATCGACAATAAGTAGTATATTAAAGATTTAACAGAAAGGTGGATTTAATCTAGTTGTACATATATTATTGAAAGGTTTTCGGGATTGAATAAATAATTAAATAGTATTATCAAAATTATGAACCAACCAATGTTAGAGTACCATCGAAAACTTAGAAGCATCTGTTGAAGTTGGACATTAAAACCGTCGGATGTTGGCTCACTGGTCTAGATGTTAAGCATTCGCGCGCGAGACCGAAGGTCCTGAGTTTGAATCATATTGGGACGAAACGGCTGTCCAGTGCTTTCAAGTTTTCAATGATAGTTTAACATCGATCGGTGCATGATTTCAATCAAATTTAACACTGTTCACAACCCTTAACTGAAAATTAAATAGTCCTTATTTAAAATCTGTAAGCTTACATTTACAATATTGTAAATGGCTAAGACTATGTCAGTTTATCTGATTTCTCCTTTGTATTAACTATTCACAAAGTTTCATGCACATAGTTCCCTTTATTATATTAAAGAGAGCAAGAACGAAGATTGGTGCAGAATAATATGGATTCATTTTATTTCGTTAGATTATCACCAGCTGCTTACAACCTATAATATTTGAAAATCAACGTTTTTACAGATATTGATATACTTATACATACGTGGGTGATTAAGGATGAATATGTGTATCATGACGTAGTGATGATTCCGATAGAGTTAATGAGGTCATAGAAAATTTGTTTCGGACCAATAAAGTTTGGAAGGGAAACTTCTTAATCTTTGAAATAATGATTAGAATTCATGGAGTTAACAAGCAATAAATGATTGTATGATGAAGCAACTAAAAATAGAATAATGGCAATAAAGAAAGATTTGAATTGAAATCAGTCAGTTATGAATTAAAGGAAATGACAGCGACGTAATTTAAGTTTCTGAAAGAGTTGAAGGAATGAATGACGTAATAAATAAAAAGGGGGTTTATTGTTAACAGAGCAAAGAAATATTTATTACTCTCTTTCTTTTGTAAACATAGATCTGGTTTTAGACGTTTTTCCCTTCCAAACTTTATTGGTCCGAAACAAATTTTCTATGACCTCATTAACTCTATCGGAATCATCACTATGTCTTGATACACATATTCATCCTTAATCACCCTCGTATGTATAAGTATGTCAATATCTGTAATATCGTTGATTTTCAAATATTATAGGTTGTAAGCAGCTGATGATAACCTAACGAAATAAAATGAATTCATATTATTCTGCACCAATCGTCGTTCTTGTTCTCTATATTCACAAAATATCATGTTATAAGATTATTAAGTTCTTGATGTTGGTCAGCGTACTGAACTAGATGATTTAATTGTTGAACTTTTATTGTCAAGCTGATCTGAGAATGTTGTTTAAAGTGACAATAAAAAAGATCAGTATTTAAATCGTTCTACCTACGAAAATTTAACATTTGTAAAAACATCTACCTAAGTTACAAATCTTCTCAATCATTATTTAGTTCTAATGTTTTGTTTATTGAAGTATTCAGAATAATATGTAATTTAATATAAGATAGATATTATAAAGTTACTTAAATGCTTTTGTTAATGTGGTATGTTTTAAGAATTTGGTTTCATTAATTAAATTAATTAATTTTATAAAGATGAAACTTAGTCTTTTTATCAATCGATTCCATTATTCCTTTTTGGTTACATTGAAAACACAGCACTTTCTACTTAATCATTGATTTAACATTTAATTGTGAATAAAAATGAAAAAGGAAACTTATACACTACTTGGATATTATTCAAGAATTGACAATCAATAATTATTCGTGTATTTTTATAATAATTAATTGTATTTAGTTAAATGAACAAAATATATTAGTGTTGTAGATCTTTCTTTAAAAAAAAAATAGCTTTCATAACATCAGTCATAAAAGAAAAGCTTAATATGAAAGTTTATAAACTGATTAAGTATTTATGGTTAGTAACTGGTATGGTTATAGTTTCTAGGCTTTTTTTGGGAGGGGGGGGGTAAATATTTAAGATAGTTGAACGTCAAGGTTTAGTTGCTGTAAATATTGATAAAAATTAATTCTACAAGTTGCCTATGTTACCTGGTTAAGTTTTTAAAAAAAAATAGAATTACGATCAAATAGATTAATAACACAAAAATTCCGTATGAAGAAATCAAGATTGAAAGGAATAGAAAACCTAATTAGTTAATATCAGATCTATGGAGCACTAGATAATCTGCAATCAATTATTTTTGCTCTTATTATCATTAATAAGTGTCTGAATTATACCATTATTATACAGTAGGTTTGTGAAAACTTTTGGATTTTATATTTAGCATTACAAACTGTATATGATTAAACAGCCGTTGAAAAGTCAGCAAGAACTAAACAGCTATTTTATTATGAAAGTCTTCAATAGTGCCCATCTACAATCTTACCAGAGGCTTAAAAATCGTGGGCTATATCTTCTATGGGGTTGTCAACGGTCGCAGTTGATGACTGATATATTAGGAAGAAATAACCATTTAATGCTTCTCTGCTTCCAATGGCTATTTGAATCAGGTGACTTTGTTATGTTAACCATAACATTATCTCATTGCTGAATTCGGGCAGAAATTTGATCACTTCTTTTTAGAATATGCATATCTAATCAGGATTCCGCCGGTTATGGGAATTTTATCACGAACTTTTTATGAGAGACGAATTATGGCTAACAATGTAATCCAGTAAGCGTATTTTATCCTATTTGGAAATCTCAATTAATAACGTGATCATTATACCCTTTGTATTAACTCTATAAATAACATACCTGTTGAACAAATTGCCGACATTGTGAACTCAATAGCTCAGTGAATAATGCGTTGTGATCGGAAGTGTAAGTTTCTATATTTACCTCTTAATGTGAACATCAACAGTGGGATATAAGTTGATAAAGCTATAAAATTCTATATAAGATGAAACTGATCTCTTGCATTTTAATCCTATTCTACTCCTTATTATAATTAAGTGTTTTAATTCATTCAATATTCATTTTAATAGATGTAATATTTTATCTTATCAGTAAATACAGTATTCATTCATAGCATTTAATTGTTTGTTTATTTTTATACTTGATTAGATGAACCTGATCACATATATGTAACTGGTAGACGATGGTTATTCAATCATAATCCTCAAAATAATTTATTAATACATGAAAATTTGAATCCTATAAATAAAAGTCAACATAATGTATCATTAAAGAATAATCATAATAATAATAATAATAATAATAATATAAATTATGATAATGAATCTATTTTGATTGGTCATATAGATTCATTAAAACATTTTAATGATAATCAAATGAAAGTAGACAATGGGAAATCACAATGTCGTGTAAGTTTTTTTTTATAATGAAAAACCTTTTGTTTTAGGTTTTTAGACATTGAAAAACGATAGATAACCTTTTTTTTTAAAGAAAAAACCTGTACAATATCTTTCGGCAATTTATTATCAGTTAGGTGAACTTTATTTTCAAAAGAATAATTTAACTAGTTTTATCAAAAAACACACAACCGAAACTGTTAGTGTTATAACGCTCAGTTTTTACTTCGACTAATGTTATAACGATTAGATTTCCACGTTTGCACGTATAGGACGTTATTTTACCTTAGACAAATATCTATACTATATTCCCAACCAGTGTCTATTCTACAGGAATTCAACACAACTCAGATCAAGAACATGTGATTAGCCTGACTACAACGTAAATATATTTCCACACCAAAACCTGACACAATCCAACAATAATGAACAATCAGTAATAAGTGAGTAGTAATAATAATAATGATAGGGGAATATATAAATCATCTGATACCTGTCAGACTATCTACATGTCTGACTAAGCAGACAATCAATCATTATCATTCTCACCCACACATCTGTTAGGGTAAATCCTAGAGTAGTAGAGTTAGTAACAGTAGTAATGGTATTGAAGATATGATACGAGAAAATATGAATTATTGAGATGAAATAAAAGGAAATTTCAATGAATTTAGAAGCTTAAGATTTATAGAAAGACAGAGAATGGAGGCATATTTGCCTTTACAAACAATTTTGAGCTATATCATTCAAAGTCTTTAACTACTAGTTATGATAATCACGCAGACCTCAGTCAGGTAGTCTAAACTTATTGACATAGATCAATCTAATTATCAATGATTTCGTGAACTGGTGCAATGTCTTGGTTTAGCCGCCCCCAGCTTTCTTCCAACCTACTTCTACATCAGACAATATCGCATATTGAGGTAGTTGGTGATTGGATATGTGCAACAGATGTTACAACCACCTCAGTTGATAAAGATGTACTACCTTCACGAGAAAAATTATACCACCGTTTTATATCTGCTTCAGGATGATCAATAAGCGAAGTTGTAAAATAAGTGTATATAATATTGTTTAACAATTCGGAAATAGAATGAATCAATTATCAGCGGGTGTTATTGGATATCATTTAGATTTTTAAATTATACTGATTTGTGATGTGAACGTTCCAGAAAAAGAAAGGTGGATAGTTCCAAAGTGTTTGTATTAGCTGTATAGGTGTATATAGGAAATAATAATTTATTGATTTTTCTATGAAATTACAAAATTGTTTGTGTCTACATTTCAGATTTCATGTAACATTTATTATGATTAATCAACCGGTATTAATTTTATTGATAGTTTGTGAGAAGAAATCATGGTATGTATGGATACAATTAATAAGTGTAATAAACAAGAAATATGAAAATTCTTTTTGAGAAACATTTATTCTGTGTACGAAATATTATAAAATAAGTTGAGACAATACAAAACATGTTATGTTGGCCATCTAGTTCAATACACCTTTACGTTTTCACTAGTCAATGAATTTACTTCTAGTGGATGAAATATAGTTTGTACATTTAATCAATGTACTCTTTTACATATTTAAGAATTGTTATTCTGTAAACCTAAGGTTATGTAATAGTCTTACCATCACACTGTATGTGATATATATATATATATATAAACAGGAATTATAAACATTTTATTTCTGTTAAACTTGATCTAGATCATGTATGCAAGATATAATGAATACATTAAACGTGCATTTCTCAGTTATTAGCTCAAATAAAGTGTGAACAAAAACATTTTTCTCTCAACATAGTTTTAATATATCACCCGAAATTGTATAATATTTAAATATCTATACTATTGAGTAGATTTATAGAATTTAAAAACAACTATTTTCATTTCTGTTTGTACTTTAATCAGCTGAAAGAAACTTGTGAATAGTGATATCTTTCTGTTATTATTTTGTCATAATAAAAAAGTACTTTTTAATTCTATCACCTACTAAAGAAAATCTAATTCATCAGAATAAACTGATACTTGAAAATTTTGTTAGATATTACATAGACACATAATAATTTAAATGTAAATTGATAAGTCTATCAAGTTTAACAGTTACGGCCGTCCAGTGCTTCTAGGTTTTCCATGGTGGTCTAGCTTCAATTGACTCATCATATCAACTATTGAAATTATTTATTGCTTAATGTATCTTCTTTTATGGTATATTGAAATATCAGCTGAACTCCGATTAAACTAGATTAGTATCAGATGAAAGTTGAATAGTATTTATCCTACAATCAGTCTTTTATTCTAGTAAAAATATGTGATCCATTGTTGAATTACTTTCACAATTTACTTATCCTTTAAAACTGTCATCATTCTTCAGAATGCATTAGGTCAATAAAAAGAAAAGATTCCCACCCCCGATTTTTATAGAGAATTGTGTCTAGAAGTTAAATTGTGTCAAAGGTGATGCGTTCTATCTAAGGAAAATCTACTGTAATCTTTACTCTTCCCAGGCAATATCAAAGCTACACAAAAAGACTTAATAATCCCATCAAATCCAAGGATCCACAACCTATTTCGTCATTAACATTACATGTTATTTTTGAAATCCATCAAATTAATATGAAAAACCATATTTATTCTGTTTAAATATCACACCGGTAACAAACGAACAAATTGGCTCTACTTCTAATCCCAAATATCACATTCTTTCACACTCACTAATAAATACACGAACAAACACACTTATTGTCTTACGCTTGACCTGAATAATATAACATTAGTACTATCAAACTTGTTTTAATTGTACTAACAAGTTTGATTTATTCCACTCAAGTATATAAATTTATAATAATTGAATTTGGTTATTTATTTATTTTTAAAGTTGAATTCATGAGTCGATCTAGGCTAGACCACTACTGAAAACCTGGAAGTTCAGGATGGCCGTTTCGTCCTAGTATCGGACTTTTCAACAGTGCACATCGACGATCCTACGTACGGGATGGTGGTTTCGACTCGTAAACTGAACTTTGAAAATACTACAAATCCAGTTATCATCCGAAAAATATTTGGATACAATAATTTTGTCTAAATCGCTGAAATTTTCAATGTTGTAAAGTAATATGGTGACTCTATAATTTATGGACGACATTTCAGAGTCGTTAAAGTGGCCTTGAGAATGTCCATTTACGTACTATGGCTAAATGAGGTTTATAAACCTGTGTGAAGAATAAGGATTCTGATTTATAGCTGATTGTTAGGGTTAAGAATTTGACTTGAGTTTTTCATTATTAACTAACACCAACTAAAATCCGAAAACGCTATTTAACAAAATAGATGAATGAATTTCGTGCCAAAATTCAATACCTGTTATCCTAAAACTAATTGATTTATCCATAAATTATCCTCTCGCCTAATTTATCTTTTTCCTATACTAATAACATAAGTTGAGGCGTTTACCTTGTCTACATCAAATTGTATTACTTACACCTGCTACGTCTCGTGGAGGTGCATAGGTCGTCCGCCAGCACTCTCCATCCAACGCTGTCCCAAGCAATCCTTTCCAGCTCTTTCCAGTTCTTATTCATCCTTTTCATATCTGCTTCCAGTCTCCGACGAAATGTGTTCCTAGGTCTTTTTCTTTTCCGCTTCCCTTGAGGATTTCCAATTAGTGCTTGCTCCGTGATTTAGTTTGATGATTTCCGTCATCATCATCATGTCCTAATTTCCTCTTCAGTTGGATGCCGATTTGTTCTCTGCCACAATAGGCTGTTATTAATGGTAACCGACCAATAGATGTTGAGTACCTTACGTAAACAACTAATTATAAACACTTGTACCTTCTTGATGATGATTGTAGTAGTTCCCCAAGTTTTTGCTCCGTACAGTAGATCTCACTGTCTTGATATTCATATTGAAGATTATGACTTTGATATTGGTTGACAGTTATTTTAAGTTCTATATATTCTTCAATTGTATTTGTTTTTCCTTACTTCAATTATTTATATCACATGTTCTACTTCAATGAATTATTGAATATTATTTTATTTCATCAGATAAATAATACTTATGGATCATCACAATTTATAAGTTTATTATTGGAATTTTTCAATATTGATGATACATTAGAATTTTATGAATTGCTTATTCAATATTCTATAAAACAATCAAATTGTTTATCTGTACCAGAATTAACAATTATGTCAAAGAATCAAATACATTTCTATTTAAATAATGATATAATATCATTATCTAATAATTCACAACAACAATTTCATTGGTTGAATAAATATCTGTAAGTAAATTAAATAAAAGTGTATACTCTTTTATTACATCATAAACATCAGTGTATTATTTAATAATATTTATTATTTTTAGTAGGCTTCTATTTTTATTTATATAATGTTTTTCTGGTCAGCGTTTTTTAGTGAGTTAGTTTTCTATGGGATGGGGTCATTAACCCCACACCCGACCCTACTCCTTTGTCCGGGTTTGGAACCGACAGTAGCCTCCGGAGGGACTCGAGGCGGAGTTATATATATATATATAAATGTCGAACATCTAACGCTTCTAAAATTCTATCTTTAAAATTTGTTTAATTCAATTGATTGATATTTATTTAGTTAGTTATAATTTTTTGTTTATAGGAGGCGGTAAATGATGTAGGAATGTAAGTTTTGAATTCAGACATAGTTTTATTAAGTATTGTGAACGAAAACAGAAGTAGGGGGATAACCGATTGTATTTTTATACAAAATTACAAAGTTTTTTCATCAAATGTAAAACCATACATTCAATACTTCATTTATAAATCTTCCATCAACTATTATTATCTGATTCCATTCTCTTTTATTCGATCATTTCAACCTTCTGCTGCAAGGTTTTACACTTCCAATTGGCACCGCATTTTACTTATGTCAACAGATATAAGTAGTATACACTATAACAGTCATAGATTTACAAGCTTAGGAAAAAATATTAGGGATTTAGTTTAGGACTCATGTAACTTACCGGATGACCTTGAGAAAAGTTTGATCCTTTTTAGACAGTTAGAAGACAATAACTGTGAATGAATAATTTATATTACGTAATAAAAGAATTTACATAAAATATTTCGTTTTTAAATCATCGATTAAGCTTTTGGAATGAATTAGAGGTTCATCTGTCTTGAATTCAATTTTGTTTTTGAGGATTACATTAGGAAACTAAATATTGTTTCATCAACGTTTTCGTTCATATTCATACATATTTATTAAATTCACGTATTCGTATATGAGTACTTATCTGAGCGATTTCAACGTTTTATAAGCATTTATTGATATTTTCCACTTTGAAGTTGATCATCAGACGGTCGACAGTCAGTTTTCTGGTTTTGCATATGTGAGATGAGTTCAGCATCTCAGATATTTAGGTCGACAAATTCACAATGACTGTTTTCAACCTTCTGTATTACCGAATCTTTTTGTTGCCGTTGATAAAATTCAATATTGTTTAGCGCTTCGCCAATAATTCAATTTGGTTACTGATTACTGCATTTTGATATACGTTGGAGCAGTTGAACTGAACCACGTAAAAGTGGTCGATTTTAAGCTTATATTATTTTATTTGCCTCTGATGAAAACTTAGCCGAATGTTAAATCAACTTTTGTTTATGAGCGTAAAATGAAACAGACGATTGTGTTGACAATATTATTTAACTATTATCTGCAGTTGGATTTCCCTGGATCGAAGCAACCGTGTCCTACAGGTTTGACACGAGACGATTTGCTCCAAAGTCTTCTATACTTTATACTTGTATTTCAGAAAAGCTCTTCTACATACTTTCTATATTCTCTTTTATCACTGCACACTGAGATCGACAACAGTCAAATATTCGGAGTTTATATCATAGCTTTCTAGGTTGCTTAATAAGAATCTAAGAGAATACAAGGCATATATGCATCTGAGCAGCTGCGAGAGATTTTGATAGACATTTATGTTATGGAAGATGGTTGTGCCATTTCTCCAAATGACTGAAGTTAGACGTATACATTAATGGATTCTGATTCATTGGTCTGCAATTCAGGGACTCGCCGCGTAACCTGAAGGTCTTGGATTCTAGCCCTAGTGGCTTCGTGGATACTCATTGCTGAGGAATCCCATACCAGAAAAAACATCACGTCTTAAATAATTCCCAGTTTTCAATAGTTGTCTAACTGAGGTTAGTCCACAATGTAAACTGTGATACTTAACAATCTTCACGAATCCCTTATACTAATTTTATATATACGTATATAATTTTTTCCCAATTATCCACTGCTTTATTTATGAACAAACCAGAGATAAAGATTCATTCGAATTGGCTCCAAACTTACAGGATTCTAGCAGTTTACTTGTTTCTGATTCAAGTAGTATCAATGAAAATAGATATGATTATTTGAAACCTGCATCTACATGTGTTAAAACAAATAGTTGTCCAAGTTTAGACAATTCTAAATTATCTGCTCAAAGCAAATATACTAAAGTAAAGAGAAAAGTGTCTAGACGACTAGTTAAAATACGTCGTTGTCAATCTTCTGTATTCCCGCCGTCAATAAAAAAACTGGAATCAAAGCCTCCAAAACCGATGAAAAAGAATTCATTAGCTGTATCACAAAACAGTTTGAATTACTCCTCAGACAGTTTAGCAGAAACAGTAAGATTAACATATTTATATTGTTTTCTTTAATAAATTTCTGTCAGGTAGTATTTTAGATTAACTCTTATATTTGGTGTGTGAATGACTCTTTTGAAAATATTATCTATGGCTGAGAGGTGGATAAATGGTTAAGGTGTTTAATTTTAAGACACTAATTCTCAAGTTTGAAACTGGCCCCACCTATTTTAGTTTGGGTAAATGAGTAGTATCACTAACCCTCATGTTTAGAATGTGTCTCGGAACACAGTGCAAGAATCTATACATGATACATGAGGTAAATAAAATACATATCCAATTTGTAAATTAACTAGATGGGTGAATATAATCTTGTACGATATGAGTTGAATCATGATTTCATTGTTGACGTAATAGGGAAAATGATCTTTTATTAAATTATAGAAGTTTTAACCCAGTCAAACTACTATTTGATTACTGACTAGCAAATTATCTATTTATAAACCGAAAATCTACTAAGAATTTGACTAACTTACAAATTCTCCATACATAGCCATTACTTTATTGGAACTTAGAAAATTTGGAAAAATAGATAGTTTTGTAAGTCTTTACGATTTTCATGTAGCTTTTATACATTTTACTAACTGTTATTGTCATTAAACCACAGTGAACTAATACTTTTAATGATAATCGATTGATTGTTGGGCAAAGAATTGCTTTAATACCTAGAAGTGTTCGAATAACAGTTAAATAAATACATCATACATGTCTAGTACAAAACAAATATCCATTAGGTTTTGACTGGCTTAAGTTTGTTATTTAATTTCTGTGGCATATATCCCTTTTTTGAAATGATAATTATAGTTAAAGATATTTTATATTAATGGAAAAAATAATTTGAATGCATTTTATTATCTACAATACTTGTAGGCATTATTACCACTGATGTTTAGAACTGCAATTGATCAATCCCTTATTGGCATATGTGCATCGTGTGTGGATTGCCTCAATATTGCCTTAATTCACAAACATTATAGGTAAGATGGATGGTGGCTAGCTGTGAACTCAAGGCAATAACAAGGCAATGCACTCACGATGCATATATGCCAATAAAAGACTAATCAATTGCAGTCCTAAACACCAATGGGAAGATTCATACAAACGATACAAAATAAATTAAAAACTTACCCCATTATGCAAGCTAGTGGCTATTTGGACTCAGAAGCTAAGTGGATAACGCGATGGCGCTTAAAGCAAACGATAATGGGTTTGAGCCCTGGAGGAGTGTCGGAGTGAACATCAACTTTGGGATGCGGGTAAACGCAGCTGACGAGTCCTAAATAGGACGAAACACGCGTCCTGTATTCCCCTACTGGCCACCATCCATCTTTGCCTACAACTATGAAGTTGGGTAAACTTTTCATCATTTCATATGGGTAATATACAAATTGTAAAATATATTAAAATTACTGGATGTGAGTAAATTAGACCATTAGGTAAAAAAGAAAAAAGAAAAAGTGTGTCAATAAAAAATCTCTGAACGCCTATGCCTTGCGGTTTACGCCATGTGGTCTTTTTTTAATAACAAGTTGATAGACTGTCCGTATTTAATAATTGTTGCGAGTAGTATCATTACTTAACTACGTGAATATAACATTAATGATTGGACATAATTGCCACTAAATAATATGATATTTAGACGAGATTATAATTTATAGACGAGTCAATCAAAACGGAGTAAGCGGTTTCATTATCATGGTGCCTATTTCAGTACCCGATACGCACGTACTGTCGCCTTTTAGTGGGTTTCAATGAGGACGTTATATTTGATAAGTCTGATAAGTCACATTATTTGTGATTTCTTTTTTCCAATGACTGATGGACAGTATACAGAATACCCCGACGACATTGTATTACGGTGCAATACATGTTGGAAGAAGAAGTTTGACACAGCGAGGACCTTTTTCACTCGATGCCGACTGAGACTAAGACAGGTATCGCTAATTGTTGTAAACTAGATAATAAGAGAATCAGTAAAGTTCGCTGCAATTTTTTCAGATGTTACTGAAGCTTCAGTAGCTCAATTTTATGAGCGTTGTAGAGATATATGCACAATAAGGATGATGGGTTTTAAAACAATTGTTTGGAGGAATGAGGAAAATCGTAGAAATCGATGAAGCAGTTGTTTAAAAACGCCGATTCGCAAGACAAAGTGTTTGGGCAGACTGGGTAAGTAGAAGTTCCTTAAGGATACTTTACTGGTATTTAATATATATGACTGATCATAGCGAAGGGGATATTTCCAGCACGCGAAAAACCGACAGGTTGGATCGCTGATATTAATTACTTAGGAGTATGTGTAGCCGCGTACCACAACATACACAGACAACTGGAAGGCGTATAGAGGTCTGTCTAGAATTAGTTATGTGCATTAAGTTGTCGTTCACAAGCGGCATTCTATATAGCCCACTAACGGTATAGAAGCAGTGTGGTTGAGGCTAAAAGAATTTTGAAACCTTATTACAACTTCAGAGGTTGTGGAGTCATTTGGATGAGTTCCTGTACCGTATATATTACCATTTCAGAACTGCTGAACCTCTTTCTAACCTGGAAACGTTTTTGGACTATGTTGAAGAAGTGTATCCACTGATTTGTTTTTCGTTTTGTATAATATATTCTTATTCTATACCAAATGTTTTCTGACTGACTGAAGTCTCTCAAGGTCACATAAGGTTCGTTCAAAGGTCGCCCATAAATTATAGTCCCACCGATATATCTATCTGAATTCACCATATAATTGCTATCAGAACTAATTGTACAGTTGAAAAATTTCAACAAGAGATTGACAGGATTGCTGAACCGAGGAGAAAACTCAACTGTTTGTCATTGATGGTATCTCATTACTATATAGATTCAAAAAAAGATTGAAAAGACTTCAGAGGGAAAAATGATCTTCTCGACAGTATCATTTTCTGAAGCTTAGTAACAGTATTTATAGACTATATTTTACAATGAGTAGTCTATAGTAATTTAATTTCTTTGAAATTACACCCTTCAATCTATAAATTTATTATATTTAATATTTGGATCTTCCGAAACAATTTGACTAATTCGTTAAATTACACAACATCACTTTATTTTCACTGGGTTTTACATTCGATAGTTGAATAAGTTTGATTATCTTTGATAATTATAGAGCATTCGTCTATATTACTATGAACTACTCAATGTTAAAACAAAATGGTCTATAAATACGACTGTACAGCATAGTTATCCCATAAAACTGTCTCAACGATTATTTATCACGAATTATACTGAATAAAACCATTATAAGATTATTTTTTAAAACTATATTCTTTTACTGTTACTTTTTCTGTTTTTAGGGTTTGACTTCAACACATAGTTTTTCCGATCTACGTTTCACAAATGATTCATGGAATAAATGGTAAGTGAAAATTTTCATGCTTCATTCACGTGATGTTCACAAAACACTAAAGGAAATTTTATCTAGCGATTTGGCAACAATAATAATTGTCAATGAGCTGATAAAATATTTGATTGTCGTTTTTTATAGCAAAAGAAGCTATTTCAAGTTATTGAGACTAGTGGTCACAATTCAGCTAACTTAATGGAGTTCCATCAACACCGAAGGACTAGACAAATTCAACATTAGCAACTAATCAGTGACCAATTAATTTAAAAAATTTCAGTCGAACAGAAGGTTGTGATGTCATAAACGTGGAAGCTAGGTGGGTGACGTGAGTTCGAAACCCCTAGGGAAGAACAGTTTTCATGTTTACAGGCATACTTTGTTAATGCTGGCCAAATAGGATGAAACCTAAGTTGAGTCTTCTCTTGACAACCTCCAGTGACCTAACACATCTATCTTATGCTTATTTAGGATTATTCTGATTTCTTCTAGCATTTAACTACAGTATGGATTGTGTTGTTTGGATAACCTCAGTTCATAGTTATGAACATGATCAAAGCTAGAAATGAACTGCCATATACATCAATCAAATATTCTCCTGTGTTGCTCATCAAAATTTCAAATTTTAACAACAACCTTCTTGAACGACATTAAATTATAACGTTACTAGCCAAAATATCCCTTTGGATTGAAAAAGTTATACCATTTCGAGCTGTATTAACGTTAATTATCAGAATTTTTAATTTTTCATGGGGAGTACATGGTTTTGTATTTTAAGGTTTGTAATTTATCAACATCAACTATTCAGATACCTAAGTTTAACTATCTATCATCATATTGGTCCTATTTTTCCCAGTAGATATACTAAACCAAAGAATAACATTCTGTCGAATTCAACTATTAATTATCCTAAAAATAAAAAGATTAGTATATTTATTGGAACATGGAATGTGAATGGTCGTAATGGCAGTAATTTAAATTTAGATGACTGGCTTGTACCTCCTGAAGGTCAACCACCAGCTGATATGTATGTTCTTGGGTAAGTTATTTGTTCAGCTTATGTAGAAAGTACAAATGCTTTTATTTACAGAGGACTTAAATTGTGCTCATTTCTTTTATTCATTGTGTACATTGAAATCTATGTTCATTTACATTTATCTTTGATCAGATTACAAGAGTTGGATTTAAGACTTAAAGTAATTACTCTCAATAAGACTAGTTCATCAGGACCAGAGGATTTATGGATTCAACAAATAGAAGAAGCGTTAGGTGGTTTATTGAAACCACCTAGTTCTAAGTGTAATGTAGTTTTTCAAAATGAAACTGAATCAACTAAAAGTTTTGCAGCTCATTGGTTTCAGTACACCGGTGGAGGCTATATACGCATTAGACGTGTTCGTCTAGCTGGTATCATGATGATTGTGTATATCTCAGCCAAATTATCCATTCATTTACGTCATGATGAAATCTCTCAACATATTGTTCCAACTGGTGTTTTAAATGTAATGGTAAGTTGTATAAATTTTATGGTATTCAAGAAGTATTTGATAAACATTGCTTTTAGAAATTAATCTTGATAGTATAGACAAAATTGAAAATAAATTCATTTCATATTTCACTGGTTGAAATCATGAGTCAATTGAAGCTAGAACACCATGGAAAACCTGGAAGCACTGGACGGCCGTTTCGTCCTGGTATGGGACTCCTCAGCAGTGCGCATCATTTTATATTGTTTGTGTGAATTTTATAATTAATGTTTAGGACTGCAATTGATCAGTCTCTTATTGGAATATGTACATCGTGTGCGGATCACCTCGATATTGCCTCAATTTTACATGCATTACAAACAAAGATAGATGGTGGCTAGCAGAAGAATACAAAACGCGTGTTTCGTCCTACTTGTGACTCGTCAGCTGAATATAACTGCATCCCAGAGTTGATGTACACTTCGGGACATTTGTATTACGTTATTTAGCTTAACCTGCCAGAGTATTATTTATTATTGTTAACAATTTTTTGATTATACATTTCCAATGAGTGATTAAAACCAAATATTTCATGTGTCCATTGATGTTTGAGTGATAAATTTTTAGTTTTCATCAAACGTTTTGTTACAGTATATTAATGATCAATAGCTTGAATATCAATCGTTACCATAGTATGTGAAAATAAATAGAATTAGTTCAGTTGTAAAATGCTTCATTCTAAAATTACTTACTTACGCATTAGCCAATGACCAGGGATCTCCAAACAGTTCTGTTCAATGCTCTTCTTCTCAGTTTTTAGTGGGTACTATTCATTCTCCCAACTCCAGGCACGGTGTGTCCTTTTGTTTGCCTCTTTTCCTTTTCCATACAAGATTTCAAGTTAAGCCCTGCCTCATAATGCAGTTTGGTGATTTACGCAACCTATGTCCAATCTACCTCCAGCATCTTTTCCTACTTAAATGAAACATTTATACAGAATACTGGTTTTGTGATGTATGTTATTTATGTGGACAAATATAAGTAGTATGTAACACCGATCGAAATAGGAAAACCTGGCAGCAGAAGAACAAGAAGATCAAGTTGAAGTGAATAGAAAGGGAATTAAAAAGGAATTGTAAATTGGAAGAACCATACAAAATGTGGAGGACAAATGATGGAAATTTGCAAATGACTTATTCAATGTATGGTTCTCATATTATACCAAGATATTGCGTTATTTTGTTTAACACAATAAGTTGGTTTTCCCCACCTTTTTTCTTGTTCGTTACAGTTTTATAAATGTAAATTCATGATGGATTTATTATGATTTGTACATAAATGTTTTTCTTTCATTTGCTTTACTTCAGGGTAATAAAGGTGGTGTATGTCTTAGACTAACTATATTTAATACTTCATTATGTTTTGTAAATTGTCATTTGGCTGCTGGCAAAGAAAAAATTGATCGTCGTAATCAAGATTTTAAAGAAATTGTACGTAAAATGTCATTATTATTCCCTATAAATCCTAAGCGTTTTCCATTTCCTATGAAAAAATCTTATTTTTCAATCCATGAGTAAGTTCCAATATAGCATAGTTAAACTATTTGTTTGATAAATGTGTTTAGTATAATTAATATCAGATTTTAAACTGAATATTTTAAATGATATGCATACATGTTCTAGTCTGAATTATTAACACATTCATTGCACAATAAAAATCATAAGCTGTATACTTCACCTTTTTTTAATCTCTATCTTATTCATTCTATAATATTTTCCCATTTGATGTCTTATTTTACCTTAAATTATATGAACAAATTCTGATCTCTTTAGAATTGTCTCTAAGATTGTTATAAAATTTGATCATTACCATAGAGGCAAGTGATGAAATTCTAAGATTGGTCGGTGAGATTTAACTAAGCAAAGCTAGATTTAACAAGTGAAAAGAAAGATTGATTTATACCAAAGAATTTTGCGTCGTTTTCACAAACGAAACAATGATTTGATAGGTATGACTCAGATTAACTAATGCTGCTATGATATTACTATGTAAAGACTAATATCATTTGATATACAGTCAATAGGATCTACAACTACTCAAAACATTTCAAGTATTTCCTTCAAAGGATTACTACGGATGTGTTTAGACACAGAACCTTGTTGATTAGGTAAAGGAAATTTGTATTCTTTATTTCAGATTACCATAATATGAAAACTAATCTCTTGTGATATATATATATAAGAAAATAAATGACAGTGAATTCTTCTATTAAACTGATATTTTCTTCGATGTAGTGTAATTTTTGTATTTGGAGATTTGAATTATCGAATAACCGGTTTGGATTCAGATAATGTCAGGAGATTAATTCGGCAAAACAATTACGTCAGTCTACTTAAGAATGACGAGGTAGGTTTTCATTTCAATTTGTATTTAGTATTTAGACAATAAAAAAGTACTTTGATCTGTTAGACCTATCTAATTTACGAGTTAATACCGTATTTATTGTGATCGATTTTCCGTGAGCCTAATTTTAATAATGTAAGTATTTTTTCTCCAGCATTCAACGAGAGGTATATTTATGCCAGAAGAATATTCTTGATCCTAGACGGAAAAATCTATTCCTTCCATTATGGCTTACATGAATAGTTAATGATTTTATACACTGATCCCAGTCCTTAATCTGATTGCTTCTAGCTCTTTTCAATCTAAACGAGTAGTAGCCAGCAAGTACATGGGAAGAATAACCAAAGATTGACGATTCCATAAGTCAGTTTATAATTCCTACTACTTAAAGTAAAACGTCAGTAATATTCTCAATTGGTTCTACTATACATAAGTAATGCTACTAAGATATATATGGCTCATATTAGTAACCTACACGCACATCCTACACATAAAATATATGTTTCACGGTCATAACGCATTACAGAATGAACTGTTATTCAGTAAACTTCCTGTTCGCTGATCTCATTTAATATGAGCAATAAAACATTTTGTATTCTTACAAAGATTTTGTCAGTTACCAATCCAAAAGAGTTGATAATGTTATGATGATAAGAAAAGTAACAGGTCTTCTCGACTGCTTCGATATAATAAGATTAGACATTCATGTGAACCAGTGTTAAAGTAAAAATTTTACATTTAAATAAAAATGATAATACCTTAGATGCCCTTTGATATATTCAGAAGAGGTTGAAAAATAGTAAACATTTCAAGAGTCAATTGTCAATTCCAGAGTAATCAGATAATGGAACTGTTATTTTCCGGGGAAAATTTTAATGTTGAAATTAAATAAAAATTGAGAAATGCAACAGGAATTCATCTTAATTATTTTACTATACCAATTAATTACATCCAATAGTTTAGTTCAAGATATTTTGATTGTTTTGTATCAAGTCAGCGTGAGTTTTCTTCATCATAGTGTCTTCGGAAATCTTTAGGGTTAACATGTTCTACCACATGACGTGTTATCATATTGTTTAATTTTTTATATTAACAAACAATAGATAATTTACATAATGATTAAATCATTATCTTATAATACCTGCACTATACTTAAATTTGTCTACTTCTAATTTTAATAAGCCCTTCAATTAACTTATTAAACAGCAGACACTGTGTCATTCGAATAGTAACAATGTGTCTATCTCTTTGTATTATTATTATTATTATCATCACATTTGTATGATCATGTATGCTTGATCACGTGTTACAGTTTACAAGTATATACCTCTAACTAGCTAAAATCGCTTAATGGCACATTTGCTTTTCCATACATATATGCTTCTTCTTAATTCATTCAAATTAATTCACTTATTCGTATTCTCTTGTATTCATTCGTACTCATATTTCTGTTTGTTTTCGTGTTGTGTGTTTGTGGCTTTTGATCTGCTGTATACAATAATAAACTGAATTCAACGTATCTTATTTTCTTCTGAAATTTATATGCCATTGGGTGTATCAGGAAAAGTGATATACAAAGCATTATGAACTATCTCCAAGATATTTCATCACAGTCAAAGGTTTTTTTGTCAATAAACTTCATAAGATAGGAGAAACCTATTTTTTACCTGTAATTTTCACATAGTTTTTACTTGGTCCAGTTTACCTAACCGCATTATCAGTTTATTTTTCTTTCATCACTGACATTATTTTATCACAAACAGTATAAAACTAATATCAGAAAGGGTTTTGTGGATATTATGGTTATTTTAATAGTTGAATTTATCAGTTAATTGAAGTTAAACCATCATGGAAAACCTGGAAGCACTGGACGGTCATTTCGTCCCATTCTGAGACTCCTCGGCAATGCGTATCCACGATCCCGCCTCGCGAGATTCCAACCCAGAACGTCTCGGTCTTCAACTAATCCACATTATTATTGTTGGATGCTGGGTCATTGGTCTAGAGTTTAAGTGCTCGCAGGCAAGACTAATATGTCTTGGGTTTGAACCTCACGAGGCCGGGTCGTGGATGTGTACTGCTGAGGAGTCTCACAATAGGACGAAACGGTTATTCAGTGCTTTTAGGTTTTCCATGGTGGTCTAGCTTCAATTGACTCATAATCTCAACTATTAGAAATAAAATTATCAGCTAATTCAATGTAACATACTTTTATTTTCCTTTTATTCATTGATTCATTCAACCAATGATTTTATTTTAATTTTTTTCAAAGTTATCAAGAGAAATGAACAGTAGAAAGATATTTCAAGGTTTTCGAGAACATAAAATTACTTTCCCGCCAACATATAAATTCGATATTAATTGTCAGACATATGATTCAAGGTATGTTCATTGTTGTTTAACTGAGGAAGTTGATAGGTTGATAAAAAAACCACGTCAATCTTGTTTGATTAGTTCTTTATTTCATTGAAATGAAATGATATCATCTTAAGAAATTCGAAATGTTACACGTTGCCCAAACATAATCTATAACAGGGCTTCTACCTTTACTCAGTGGTCGAGCTTATTCATCATGATGACCCAATGGAGTTATGTTATCTGAAACACTTGATTTTTAGATTCTAACATATCAAGTAGATTGACTAAAATCAGTAAACTTATGGTCCGAGGATGAAGTTGCACTACCTCCCGTATTGGGGTGTGACGGAAGTAAGGTGTTTTCCTTAGACTGGTAACATCTATAGTGATAACGTATCCCCGCAAATTAGGATGGACTTTGCAATGTTAATCTTGAAAATACCATACTTCAATTCACAAATGGATTTCTGTCACCAGAGATTAGAACATTTAAGTACGGAGCTAATACCTAAAGAACTATTATTAAAGAGTTTATGTGTGGTCGACCATCAACAGTTGTCTTTTGATCTTTATAGTCAAAAGTTTTGGTCGCCAGGACCATTACTAATCCAGTTTCCTTTTCAGATATCTCAAAAAGGTTCATTACACCGTTTGGGCAGACAAGAAGTGGCAATCGCCCATGCAACTCTTGAAATGCCTATATCACTTTGTTTTCAGTTATAACAAATTATGGAATTAACATAAACTAATATTGGGTAAACAAACTGTTTTCCTGGACAAACATTTTTCCTTAGTTTGTGAAATGTACACAGTATACACCTGTTACTCCACGTAGAAACGAAATCGTGGCTTTTACTGCTTAAATTGAACCATCTCAACAAAATAACTGTTCATTCACTAATTAACTAACTTCAATGCGGACTTCGACATTCTCATGAGAAACCACAATCAGTGAAGTTTAACGATTTCAAGAATGAAACAATACATAGTATGATAAACCAATTGGAGTTAGAAATATAGGTCATTTGATAAAACTTTGGTTTAAAAGTAACCTTTTGTTAAAAACTTAATGATCCTGAGTTGAAAGTTCTCACTAATAATAGTTCCTGATCAGGACAAAGCTTAAGTTTAGTTCTTTCCGATTTTTATTAATTATCTCGGTAATGCAAGAGCATTAATGAATTAGCATGAATAAACAATAATGAAACTAAATAAAAAAAGGATCATTCCGAATCACAAATGCAAAACTTTGTTTTAAAGCCATTTTAGAAAGTCAAGAATAAAAAGTTTTTTTCATTAATATTTGTTAAGTAATTATTTTAGCCTTGAATCAGCTCATCGGAACAATCTCAGTGAAATTCATCGACTTAATTTGTATTTATATTTTTTTAAACAGTAAGAAGATTTCAAATAATTCATACATTTAATAGGCCTTATATATGAATAATGATATTTCAAGTATTTATATTGTCTAAAGTCTCGAGTGCGGGATCATGGATGAGTATTGGTGTGGAGTCCCCTGCTAAGACGAAACAACCAACCAGTACTTCCAAGTTTTCCGTGGTGGTCTAGCTTAGATCAACTCATGAATTTAACTGTTACAAAGTAAATCAGTTGAAAAGTGATAATGTACAATTTCGTGATATTTGAATGAAAATAGTGTTTATTAGTTTAACTTCAATTATCTATTAACAATTACTTATGAAAGTCACTAATAAAATGAATGTTTTAAGAGTGAACTTGTCTCCTAATTATTCAAAAGATGAATAAAAAGTAAAGAAATGTTTCTTTGAAATTTTTTCTTGAAATTCGGGTGAGACTATATATTATGAATGACATTTAAGAAACACTAACATGACCTTGGGAATGGCCATCTACTTACTAGGGTTAAATCAGAGTTTTAAATTAGTGTGAAGAATCGAGATTACAATATAACGTTGGATGTTGGGGCTAGGAATTCCATTTAGTGTTTTCATCACGAAGCGATATCAATTATAATGTCAAAGTGGTATTTGGCCAAATTAATAAATGAATTTTGTGCCAAAATCCAAGACCTGCTCTCTGAAACCTGATTGATTCGTCTATAAAGTGTAGTGTCGAAGAAATCTGTTGAGAATATTTTATATGTATAGTTCCGTATTATCATTTTGAAGAGAGCAAGAGCAAAGATTCTAGCAGAATAATATGAATTCATTTTATTTCGTTTGGTTCTTATCAGATACTTTACAACCTATGATATTTAGAAATCATAATTATAAAATAGGTTGAAATTGCTTACATGAAAGAGTTTAGTTGAAAGTTACTTTGAATATACATTAGTATAGTATAGGCAAGGGTGTAAATAAATTTAATAAGCTGAATAAAATATTGTAAATATAATCCTTCTTATGTAAAAGAACATTGTACAACATGAATTATAACAAAAGTTCAAAAGTCTATAAACAAATGTCATTTCATAGATTTCGATTACCTTCTAAATTACAAAAAACCTAGTTAGTGTAGCGTGTATTATAAACGTTTATGGAGAATACAAGTTGATGGAGAAAATTTATAACTCAGGTGGATGATTTTGATGGAGTTTGGTTCTCGGAGCTAAATGGTTTGGTTCTGAAGCTATCATCGTTCCTCTGAACGACATCATCAGCACAAACTTCGGATAGAAGTGAAGTGTTCTATCTGAAGTTTGTGCTGATGATGTCGTTCAGAAGAACGATGAAAGCTCCACGACCAAAACATCCAGCTTACGGAACAAAACTCTATCAAAATACAAGTTGATGTTATAATATCAATGAGTACTTCAGTATGAGGATTTACTCGTGAATATAATTTTAAACAACTACAAGCTTCCATTCAAACACGTCTAGAATAAATATATATATATATATATAAATGTAAAAAAATTGTATATTTCAACATTTGATCATATTAAATCGTGAAAAATCTTATTCGAGAAACAAATATCTATCATACTTCTTTTTTTTAATGATTGATTTAAATAACTCATTCATACAAAGTAATTTTTTGCATTTCCGTCAGTGAAAAATATCGTATTCCTGCCTATTGTGATCGAATTATTTGGTTTGGTCGAGGTTGTACACCAACTGTTTACAGATCACATCCAAATTATATATGCAGTGACCATAAACCTATATCAGGTTATTTCTTAGTTGAAGTAAGTTTACTCGACACTTTTAGATATGAATACTATATGGATTATCAAAAAGAAAAAAAAACCTATTTGTTAATTGTTTTTACTTACTTACTTACGCCTGTTACTCCCAATGGAGCATAGGCCGCTGATCACCATTCTCCAACCCACTCTGTCCTGGGTCTTCCTTTCTAATTCCATCCAATTCTTGTTCATTTTTCTCATGTCTATCTCCGTTTCTCGGCGTAATGTGTTCTTTGGTCTTCCTCTTTTCCTTTGGCCTTGAGGATTCCATGTGAGAGCTTGTCTTGTGACGTAGTTGGGTATTTTCCTCAATGTGTGTCCTATCCACTTCCAGCGCTTCTTCCTGATTTCTCCCTCCGCTGGAATCTGGTTTGTTCTCTCCCACAGTACGTTGTTGCTAATAATGTCCGGCCAACGGATCTGAAGTATTTTGCGTAGACAACTCTTAATAAACACCTGTATTTTCTGGATGATGGCTTTCGTAGTTCTCCAGGTTTCTGCTCCATGCAGTAGAACTGTCTTGACATTTGTATTGAAAATCCTGACCTTGGTGTTGGTTGACAGTTGCTTTGAGTTCCAGATGTTCCTCAGTTGTAAATATGAGTTAACGTTTTTTTGGCGGGTTAGTTTTCTACGGGATGGGGACGCTAACCCCATGCCCAACCCTCCTCCTTTATCCGGGCTTGGGACCGGCAGTAGCCCCCGGAGCGACTCCAGGCGGAGTTTGTTTTTACTCAACTTATAATTGTTTAATGATTAAATTTTGATTCTCGGTAAAAAAAAGGGTTGTTCACTGTTAAGAAATATCATACTAGAACGAAATAGTTATTCAGTGTTTCCTGGTTTTCAACAATTGTTTAACTAGAACATTAATTCATCATGCATACTATAAAATTCATAGATTATCTCAAATCACTTGTATTACTGAATACGTTTTGTAATTTAAGAATACAGTTGATCTTAATGAAAGTTTTTAGTTTGGTAATAATATGCGTGAAACACATTTTCTGGCAAAACAATGAGATCTTCTCGTGAGCTGGATATGTTACTGTCTGCACATGCTGTTTCGGGGTTGATGGAGTTTGACTCCATTACCGGGCATGTTTCTGGAATAGAAAGTACTGGACCACTGGGCGCATGATGGATGACTGTTTCGTTTGAAGTACAGTTCATCGAGGATTCATGAAGGCTGCTGTCATTTTCCAGCTCACTGTGTATTTCAGATATCAATACATCCACTTCCGTCGCGTCTTCATAGCATGAGTGATTTAGCAGCTGCGTGCGGAATTTGACTAATAACTCCAAATGTCGTTCAAAGAGCAGCTGTAATCGATCGGAGGGGAGAGTCATTTTTTCGAATCAGCACCTGTGATGAAAATTACTGTATGACTAATGACCAATGTGGTTCAAGGACACTGATGTAATTATATGTTTATTATCAAACAATACAGAGACCATTGTTTGTTATTACAAACTCATTGAAAAATACGTATTATATATTACTCTTCTTTGATATTTCAGTCTTTGAAAACTTTAATAACTTAGTTAACGCTTCCGTGACCAGATTTAAACTACACAGCTAATAAATTACATCACCAGAATATATATATATATTCTCTAAGTTTAACTGATGACTTTGAAACGGTCATTGATGTTTTAGATGATATAATCAACACAGGCTTTTAAAAAGAATTGAGCGGCTTTTATTTCTACAATGAGAAATAATGCTTTTAAGATGATTTCATTTATACTTTACTAACCCGATTTGTTCAACTAAACGCTTGTATTCATGGATCAACAATTCCAAGTTTATTGAGTAGATTTATGATGATTTAGCCTAACGGTAATATTTTAAACATTAATAATAGATTGAGTCTGTAGCCAAATATCTTTCATATGTAAAGTACCCTGAACACTAAGTTCCAGGAGATTTATGAAAATACTTCAGTTAATTTTCCATCCATAGTTGTTCAAATCGATTATATTGGGTTGCGTAGTCTTGTTGCATATTTACCATGGTCAAACAAAGAATTGTTTTTGAATGTTTCAGTGTTTAATTTCTACTGTACACAAGCTTACGATTCTAATCCTTTCTTAACCGAGTCGATTGGATTTGTAGGTAATCTTTATAGATAATCATGGCATTTTTGTGTTATCAGCAGTTTCCATAAATTAATCTATTTATTGATTAACATACTATTTTCTATAACCAGGTGGCGCAATACTCAGAATGAGAAAGACTTACGTGCCTGCTTTAACCTACTCCAAAAGATTATGTAAACTTATAGACAAATATTAAGATGGCTTAGAGTAATGTATTATTTTCAAAACATTAGCAAACTGGATAAAGCCTAGAGAAGACAATCTAAAATACAGTATAATCGGAGATATTCCTCATGAACTTGATTCTTAGTTGTTCTTTAGATCTGAAGGTTTGTTTTCTCTCTTAACAACTTATGAGGAATCGGAAGTAGCCATGTTCAAAACTTCTATTTAATGACTGAATGCTTAGTGCTCTAACAACTTAGACACTGTTTTGTTAATTTTTTCAAAACAATCCATTTTTAAACGTCTATGAATACTTTATAAGTTATTAGTTTACGTAACGTAATTAATATTAAACGGAGATTGTTTTGTGCCATTTAATGCTTGTGGATAGAATAAAGAAGGTAGGTCACATTGAAATTGCTCTATTGAAGGTCACTTCAGTAATTATGTGAACATAAATATAACAAGACTGTGAAATTTAGTTATAATTGACAAAAGAACGCAGAAAGAGAACTTAACCTGTGTTTCACACATACATAAACACTAACTGAGCTGGTGGATTCCTCAAACCTCTCCAGTTTTGTAGTTCATCTGATGCCTTAAACGGTATGATTGGCAATTACATATTAGGCGTCAACAAAACCGGAAACAAAAAGTTAGTGAGCTCCGTGTAACCAGATACAAACACAAAACTAAGTGGAAGATATTACAAAACATACATATAAAATATGAAAATCATACATGAAATACTTCATTTCCACATCTTCCATCGATTGGTTTTCACAAAATTCATCGTCCATTCATTCCTATTGTTATTATAATTACTGTCACTCTAAATTCTTGTTCTCTTCAATTCGATCTTCTCAACCATCTGCTGACAGGCATTCCACTTCTGGTTAGTGTTACATAATACTTATTTCTCTCAACATAAGTAGCATACACCATATATATCCAAATTTGTTAAGTTAATCTGATCATGTGGTTTATCAGTGATATTTGTGTATTAGTGATAGATTTGATCAATATTCAAATCACTTTGGATCCTACCCTTCTTTTCAGTTGTAGCTTCAACTATACATAAAATTTGAAATCGCATCACCACTGATCATTAATAACAGTAGAGATTTATTTTAACTCATATATATTAGTTGTTTCGATTTTCCCAAACACAACGAAATGATGTTAGTGACTTTCACTGCTAGTCACCATCCATCTCCGCTTAATTAGAGATTTATATTTATTACGTCACTGAAATCAACGACTGAAATGAAGTCATCAAAGGTTTCGTAATAAAAATTAACAGAATAAAATAATGAAAAGAACCTATAATTAATGCTTAACACTATTACCACAATTTGCACTAGAAACTAAGACACATCTCAGTTGTCTTTGAATTTATTCGATGTGTTGTACTTCTCCACGATAGTAAGGCCAGATTAGTTTTTATCTTTGATATCTTGTTTGTAATTCCTTATCTAATAAATAGTTGTCAACTGAACTTACTAAATGTTTTTGGTTAAACATGAAAGTCATCATTTGTCTTACGGTTTTGTCTCAGAGTTTAGCATTGTAGTGTTGGTTGCTTTTGTTAAGCCCATGTAGCTTATTCTAGTTTCCGGACAAACCAGTTTGCTCATTCTTCTTGAGTCATATTTTGAGTTTGTTGATTATTCGCTTGTCAACCATGACTGTTTTTATGTAAGCGTATGTGTGTGCACTTCTTATCCTATCCATCACGTGTATGTAACTTATTTTTATCTGAATATAAATATCGATTCATGTTTGGTTAATTGATGTTGGTTCACTCGTCTTCTCCACTGAGCGTCATTTTGCTTTGTTTTACTTCCCGATCAACAATTGCACGAAATATACGTATTCAAAAAACCATTCTCATATTTAACTTATTTCATTCCGTTATTCACCAATGCGATTCAAGTCCATAACGATAATACAATTATAGTTAGTGTGGTGGTCGGTATTCAATATAATCCTTAAACATCGTATACAGTTCGTCTTGATAACCATCACTAGATAACGCCACAACGGTATATCAGTCAGAAGGGGAATACGAAGTGTTGATTACGTTTATTGTGGGACCACACACAGATATCCAAAATTACAGGTGCGTTAAACAAACGTGAAAGAGTTATGCCGAAAGGCAAGTGGGCGAGCGACCAAGTCAGCGAATATGAATACGAGTAAGCGAGTACAATTAAGCGCGCGCGAGAGAGAGAGAGCTGTGAACATGAATAACATGGACATATGTATACATAGTGAAATGAATGAATCATCGAATCAATTAAACGGTTAGTAGTAAGGCTAGCCACGTGAATACATGCGTAGGCAGTAAGCAATGATCAAGCATTCATGTTCATACATTCACAACAAGAATAAAGATACAATGATATAGATAAGTTGTTGTTGTTGTTGTTGTACGGATGACTTAGTTCGTTAATAAGTTAACAAAAATGACTTAACCGAATTAAATGTGAACAAACTCAATCTCACGTAAGTTGCTACATATGAGATAACGGGCCACTAAAGCCTAATTTACAACATCATTGCAGATTTACAACAAAAATAACTAAATAATTTCTTTAATTCAATGTTATTTTTTTCCTTCATAAACAATCAATATAATCACTAACCATAATTTAATTTTTCTAATCATTATTTTATATACAGATATATTAGGTATGTATTTCAACGTTGACATTAAAACACTGTTTTGCAGTGAGTTGTTTCTTTTCTGTTTTGTTTTGGTTTGTTTGTTTGTTTTTTCTTCTAAAAATGCACTTTGCATTGATGATATTAAAAATAAAAAAAAGGAAAACAATATTTGGAATTTTTTTTATTTTTCATATGAGAATTGATTTTCACCAAATGAAACTTGCTACCTATTCATTTATCCTTCGATGTAACTTTTCGAGTTGTGTTTTCTCTCTGTCTCCCACCCCCACATTCTCTTTCTCTCTCTCCTTATTTTCTCTTCCGTTCTAGATCAGATCATGTAATCAAGATCTCATATACAATATTAAATTATTGTGATTTTTAACTTGTTACCTTTTTGTGACTGATATATTCTTTCTCTTTGATTAAAATATGAAAACAAAAAAGAAACAGAAAGAGAAAGAGAGAGAGAAAGAAAGAAAAGAAAATTAGAAACGATACTATATTTATGATGTTAATAATTTGATTAAATGTAACTATAGAAATTGTTTATGATAAGAAAATTCTTTAATTAGTTAATCCAATTTGTACATCATTATTTTATAAATTGTTTCTTATTTATAAAGATGTCTTTATTGACTGAAATAAAAACTAACTTCATATGTTGGTGATAGAATGGTGGAATAAATACAAATTGATGATTACACCTTATAAAGTGCTTTAAAGATTGATTAATGTAAAGTTTCATATCATAAATTAATTTAATTTAAACAATCATTAGAAATCAGAGTGTACTGGATAGAAATTTCAATTTAATAGATGACTTATTGTCGGTAGGTATTCACAATCACATCAGGAATCAAACACAAGAGTTTAAGAATTCACAGTGAGAGGATAACCTTAAAACTACTGAATTTAAGGTAACATCAAATTTGTTTCATTTATATTTAAGATATATTTTACGTATAAATATGGTATTTATGTAAAATGACTCTGTTTTTTTTTGATAACCATTTAACTTATTTTTTACTCTATGTTCATTAAGAATCTGGTTTCGGCGGGTCAATGTCATTCAGCCACTTTATTCTGCTCAAGATAAATAGTTATTTCCAAAGCTACACAGTTTAAACAATAATTACTGTTTTCATATTCGATATATTAAAATAACATTAATCGGTAATTAAAAATATACGAAATGGTAAATATGTGACGTAATACTGGAATTAATCTGAAGTAAGATTCAAGAGCCTTATTATCCAATGTATTCACTATATATATTAATGTACATTAATAAAGCAGGATATTTCAAAAGAGTATTTCGAGACCAATATTTGGTTTAATGATCATGAAAACTATCTTAGGAGGATGACACAACACTGAAATATAGGCACACACAATATATTTCGTATTAGACTCTTTGTGTCAAGTTCTATACCATATAATTTATTACAGTTAAGTCAAATTAAGCACATCAAGCTATTCCAGATTTGTATTTCATCACTGTAGTCTAATAAGTAATTACAAACAGGGTAACACTGACTAATCTTTCTCAAACTAAGGTAAAACCACATTCTACAAACAATTGATAACATTTTAAAGTATTCACTTGGTGTTGTTTTACTTGTATCTTCTCATTGTTATTTAGGACTGCGACTGATCAGTCTCATGTTGTTATATATATATATATATATATATATATATATATATATATATATATATATATATATATATATATATATATACTGTGCGGATAGCCATGATATAGCTTTAAGTCATAAGCTTTTGAATCAAAGATGGATAGGGGTTAGGACGAAACGCGCGTCCTGGATTCCATTTTGAAGTGTTGTTTCATGAATCTCCTAGAATTCCACACAATTTTATAACACTGTGAAGAAACCGTTTTTTTCAGACGTACACATTTATTATGTGTAAAATGACTTTTATTTGTCATAGTTATGAAAATAAAATTTAGCAACTTCCTTTTTACTTTATACAATTAATATGAAATATAGTTTTGATTAATATAAGATGGGTTTTGTGAATATTATAGTAATTTCAATGGTTAAGATCATGAGTCAATTGAAGCCAGACCACCATGGAAAACCTGGAAGCACTGGACGGCCGTTTCGTCCTGTTGTGGGACTCCTCGGCAGTGCGCATCCACGACCTCGCCCCTTGCGAGATCCGAACCCAGGACTTACTGGTTTCGCGTGCGAGCACTTAGTCAACGAGATCACTGATCCAGCATCCAATGGTGTTAATGCTCACTAGTGACTGGCTTCAAGGTGTATATCCTTGAGTTCTAGTGAGAAGCAGTGACCAGTAAACTTCAACCGGGTCTGTTGTGAGATAGTAACTCACTGAAGACAATGGTGGATGTGTCGCTCAATTTTGTGGATTAGTTGAATTTAGACATTAACACCATTAGATGCCGGCTCAGTGGTCTCGTTGGTTAAGCGTCTGGCACGAGACCGATAGGTCTCAGGTTCGGAAATCGAGGCGGGCGAGGTAGTGGATGCACACTGCTGAGGAGTACCACAATAGGACGAAACGGCCGTTCAATGCTTCCAGGTTCCCCGTGGTGGTCTAGCTTCAGCCGACTCATGATCTTAACCATTTGATATAGTTTTGAATCAATCCATCTGATACAAACGATTTTACTATTGGTTAACTTAAAAATGACGTAATTCTATTAGAACAACACATATAAGCGAACAATTGTTTTCAGTTGGATCGTCATCAGGCTTTACTCTAATATACATGAATATTTATACGAAAATTTTTTAAAGCAATCAAGGCAATATGGGTCAATAATCACAATGAAGTAGAATAAGTCACCACACATACTAGGTAAAAATACAAATTGATAATAGGAAGACAGGTGTACTGATAGTGGTAAGAATAATAAATACGATCACAAAACTCTTATCAATAGTTAGACGTTGGAAATAGAAGGTCAAATAAACATGGGTAAATAGACTAGGAATAGTAATCACAAAACCTTAAAAATCATTACGTAATAAGATGTGTGTAAATAATTAGATAGCGAAGAATAAAAAGAGGCGGAAAATTACAAACAAATATTGGATGTGGAAATAAGGTTAACGATAACACAAATAGAATAAAATAAATAATGATAATAATGAAATTTTAAAAAAAAGTTAGTTAAGTTATAACTGGCCATGGAAGGGTTAGGGGGGTCACGTATTTCTTCTGTACACATAAATTGGGGTTATATGTACGAATTCCAATGGCTTCAGCTATATGTAGGAGACGGGAACGGACTCCGTCAAGAAATGATGGAGGTATACGATAGATAACTCGAAATGATTTCGATTTATCTACAGCATGACCGCTATCAATAAGATGTGCCAATATAGAACTGCGAATAGATTTTATCTCGACCTTTATGGTTTAAAATTTTCGTATAAATATTCATGTATATTAGAGTAAAGCCTGATGACGATCTAACTGAAAAGTAATTTTATTAGTACAAAATAGAAAACGTTATTTATTTTCATATAGTAATCAAATACTACAATATCTTTGAAAGATAAATCTCATTAAAAATTTGATTTATTATGTGTGAAACAATAATTGAATAAAATCAAAATTTTAATTCATTGATTATTACTTAGTAACAAAGAGAACTAAAATTGATTTTTCATATGAATATAAATTCTTTGTCACATGTTTAATGAATTCTATTTCATATTTATCTTACCTTAGTGATTATTTATCTAACTATGCAAAGTGTCGTTTCATTCATAATCCAATTTATAACATTTTTCACATAAATCATTCAATAAAAATAAACTTTATGTTGTAAACATTCACTTAGAGAATTTTTCAGTTAGATACTGAGTAAAATCAACTAGTTTCATTGAATCATTAAGAAATTTGTTTATTGGGAAATTTTTTTTAATTCTTAGGTGCTTGGATCTGAGATAAGTATAAATACCTAAAAGAGTTAGTCTACTTACAAAAAATAAGTAGTTTATTTATGTATGAGAAATGTAAAATAATGAAACAATATTCGACTGTCAAACTCAATCGTATTCATGTGAAAGACTTCTAGATTTCTGCATAAAACTTGAAAAAGTAACTTTAAATGCCATTCATTATATGCATGGTTTTGTGGAAGGTATCTTTAATAAGTGTCTAAATCAGTGAGGGATTCGATAGTGTAATAAGGAGACGAAGATTATCAGAACTATGTGATATATCAGTGCAATACATTTCGAACAATCTGATCACACATATACTTGTTAACAACATTTATGTATAAAAATAAACGGATTAATCAGTGAGCCTTTATTGTGACATTGTAGAATGAAACAAGGGCCTGGTATGAAAGCTAAATTTAAATAAAATGTCTATCCAAAAAATTCTTTTCTATTCCATTACTAAAATTATATCATTCTTAAGTCAATCAATAATGACGGCGTCTATATCAAACAGACTGATCAAATATTTCAAAACTTGCATTCAGATAGTTCAAAAATCTTCGTCTTACTATATCATTTGGTTGACCTTTCAAAAGTCCCACTAATCATTATTAAGAAAACTTTGAGATCAAAGTATTTATAAGCCGATAAGCATAGCACAAGAACTTCAAGTCTCATAGTAACCACTTAAATTCCCTATTACTCGGTCAGCACCCGTTGATTTACATGTTTAACACCAATAATTTCGCGGTATTGAGCAACCACCCTCGAGTGTCGTTGGCCAATAAATAAATGATTCCCAATAGATACGGTTGAACTTCAACAATCGTGACTTCACACTAAAAATCCGGAAATCATCTCTGATTAGTAAGCTCACCATATTTTTGATATCTATTTATCACGCATTCAATCAAAGTTGAACTACACTAAACCATCTTTAAGAATCCAAAAACCAATTCAGTATAATTGTGGTGTGTGCTACTTATATTGATATAAGTAGTATATGATGTTAGTCGTGAACAGAAAGTCTGGCAGCAGAGAGACAAGAGGATCGAACAGTAAAGAAAGGAAACAGAA